AGTTAAACTTCTTGAAATTTTTTAAGCCTAATTATTATCCTTATTCTCCGTGAAATTAAATAAAAATAACTTTAGAAACCCTCATATTAAAGAATTTTCTATGCTTCTTCGATAAAATTGTGTCCCTTTTTTATATAATTTCATCAGCTTACAGAAAATTTGCACTTTTTAAGTTTTCCTATGCAAAAAATTATCCAAAACAATCACGACTGGCTAGAGCATGGGATAGCATTCACATTCGCCGTAAAGTCTCCACACTTCTCCTTAAGAATTGTTGCAATGATTTACCAACTGGGTGCCAGTAATTTAGCATATTTACACAACATAGTAGTCCCAATAGAGTATAGACACGTATATATCAGTGAAACACGAGAGGCTTGCTATGTTCTCATCCTTTTTTAAAAAGAAAAACGTATTCGAATATACTTATAGAGGCATATTATATCTCTTGAGGCCAGGTTTGATACTTGTGCGTGTGTGGATATGTTAGTACCTTTTTAACGAAGTCTGACCGCCCTTTAAATCTAACGAAATAGAGTTGAGCACAGGTTTTCAGGTATTTCAGTTACAGCATCTTTTATTGGAGCTTAATGGAGATATTGAACGTGTAGCTACTTATAGTTTGAAATGTTAAGTTTGTTTTCATATGATAATTATAAACGATCAATATGTGGAGCAATCGCATTTGATGGAGACGCCTTATTGTATAAAGTTTATTTTTCAAAGAATAAACATAATTTTATCTCTTTCTTCAAATATAATTCTAGCATTTATCAACATACTTCACACGCGCCTATTAAACCTGCTAAAATTGCTGATCGATTTGTTGGAGCTAAATAAACCTTGAAACACCGGTTATTCAAACCGTAGTATATTCCTGATATATTATTTCACTATTAATAAATTTTTGATGTTTTACATCCGTCCACTGATACTAAGTAAACAATAATGAGAACGCCGGAATGAATGGGTTGTTGATAGGAAATATTAAAAATGTATATCGATATAAACGTTTCTCAATACTCAAGTATTTGATGGTACATATAATTGCAAAACATAGAAAGTTGGTCTATGCTGCACAATGAACCGCTCGATATCACATAAATAGCAATTAACATAAAAAATTTTTGGGACAGATCAAATTGGTAGCTTAATACGTAAACAAAAGAAGATATCCGAAAATTAGCAACGTTCTGAAACTACTGTGGCATGTCTAATTTAAATATTATGTTTGTATGAGATTAATCCACAGTTAATGGTTGTGGTTGTGATGAAAATTACATTTTTATTTAATTAACTAATATTTGAAGGGCTTGGGGGAAAAATGTAACAAGCCACAAAAGTAGAAAATGGAGAAAACCTAGTTTGAAACTTTCAATCAAATCCTTAAATCAGAGTTTTTATTATAACACAACAATATTTTTTTAAATGAAGCTTTATTCTGAATATGAGCAGTTTACAAACTAAAAAAAAAACAAACGGAACTCTTAACTAAAAGAGAAAAAATATTTTTCTGGAGCAACGTTGCTTACTCCTTTTTTACAAAAACATTGTTGTAAGATTTTCTTATCTAAGACGATGTTTCTATTTTACTCGTCCAAGTTAAAATTCTCCGTTTCCGGATCTTCTGCGAGATCTGTTGACTGTTGTCGAACCCCCAGCTCAACGTTAAAGTCGTGATAAACTAAAGCAATATAAGGCATGAGTTCCCTTAAATCAGTGGTCGCCAACCTCTTTAATGTGTTGAGCTACTTTGTTAATTTTGGATTCAACAGCGAGCTACCCACACGGAAGCCACGTAACGCAACGTAAATGAAAGAATCCACAGTTATTCTATCAATATATGTATTTATTTTACTGTTTAACTGGTAATACATAATACATAGCTACTAATAATAAACCAATAACAAAATAAATAATATTACTATTATGTACTTGTTCATAGCTACATTCCTACCTATCAAACGAAGGTATTTGAAAAATAAACACAAACTTTTATCCAGCCACAACGGCATGTCACGTATGATTTAAAAATAGTTAATAATAACAACAAAAAAGTAACGCACTATCATAAACATAAACATTGAAAAATAAAAAAGCACCTTCAATGAGAAGGCTGACACTCAGACTCGTTGATAATTATTTTAATGTTATAATGTAATACAATTATCCAAATGCTCATCTGTAACTCGATTGCGATATTTGTTCTTAATAAACTAATATTGAAAAAAGAAGATTCACACAAATAGGTTGAACTGAATAATGCTTTCACTTTCAAGGCAACACGGCATAGAACTGAATATTTGTCTTTACTTACAATAGGCCAGATACATTCAGTACTTGAGACTAACGATTTTAAGGCTAAATCATTTTGAAACTCAATGACTTCCATTTCTGTTGCAGCGATGTCTTCGCCAAAGTTCTGCATAACACAAGCTGCAAACTGCTGGATATCAATTTCCATAAAGGGTGAAACAACAAACTGCGCTACTAAAGCCATTTCATTGAAATCCTTAAAACGATTTTTGAAGTTACTCTTCAGGGTAGAAATTATTTCTACATGATATTTGTTGTCATAGGGTTCTAATGTTTTAGGTTATTCTTATAACGTCGGTTATAATAGGTTTTTCTCATAACGTCGCACCATTGATTGGAATGATAGATTTGTGCCGTAAATTTCTTTTTCTTCTCAATTAGGGCAAAATCACGATCTGAGCGGAAGTGCGTATGCCCACTTACAAGAAAACTATGTTCGATAGCCAAAAACAGTTTTTCTCTGACTAGTTGCGTATATACTGACATCAGAGCCCAGTTTTTATTTTGACCCCCACAGTTATCGGTGTAAATGATAAGCTCTTTGTCAGTATTTGTTAGGAACATTTTGATATATTTCAGTAGTGCACTGGCAATTTCATCACTACCCCTCTTTGCCACATTTTCGGTCCAAGTGAACATGTACCCCTGCTCTCTGTTGCAGTTGTGGATGCCCAAATTGTACATCCATGCCTTTCTCAAATAAAATGTTTTTCTCACAGTCAAATTCGGCACTGTCAATGCCTGTTGTAAATCAAGTGAAATTACTTTTATCTGTTAATTTGGCATGTACAGACTCTTTTATCAAGTCCTGTTGCGTTGCATCGCCTCAGCCTTTCTTTGATGCAACTCTAACTTTAACTTAATTTGTTGACATTCTTCAGCATTTTATTTATTTGATTCGAGCAAGACATTGTATGAATCACATGTTTGGCATGTATCCGTTTTTGGAAGTTTAAATCCTATATTCTGCAATAATTTTCTTTCACTGGGACAATATGTTTGGCATTGCACCAAGGTATATAATAATCTGTATATAAAGATGATATGGACAAATCTTGATTGATGTAAGTGCGATAGATTAACTATATGCTGTTCCCAGGTTAATCCTGCATCGAAATGTATCTCCAAAAACTTAGCCTCGGTTGCACATTATGGTAGAGTAACGTTTTTAACACTAGTGTTATTTCTTAAAGTAAAATTAACACGTTGTAATTTACAGTTGTTCAAAGAGAGACGGTTAGTTAAAAACCAATTGAATAAGTTTTTGTCAGATGTTTGGTAATAAAGGGTGTCGAATTCAGAAGGGTGATAGCTTAAATAGAAAGTAGTGTCATCTACAAATGAAATAGTGTTAACTGTTTCATTTTGAGAGTACACTAGATCTTTAGTATAGATAAGAAATAATATCGGACCCAAAACTGAGCCGTGAAGGACATCAAACAACAGAGATTGTTTTTGAGAATTACACTTGTTGAAGAGAACATACTGATCATGATTTGATAGACATAAATCAACTAATTAAATAGCATCACTGAAAAATTTTAATAAGGAAGTTTTCTAAGCAGGATACTATGTGTGACACAATCGAAAGTCTTAGTAAGATCTGAAAACGATGCAAGAGTATTTTTCAAACCCTTCCAAAATATTGCTGGTGAAATTATCAATAGCTAAAGTTGTTGTTTTACTTTTTCAGAATCCGTACTGGTTTATGGCAAAAAGTTTATTAGATTCAATATGTAGATTAATTAGTTTTTTTTAAATGGTAATAAACTGTCACTTATCATCAATACAACCTTTATTCTTAAGTATTACAAGATCTTGATTGATTTATTAAAGCTGTTTGAGGTTAAAAAATTATATTTCATCAGGATATCTGCTGTTACTCTTTTTTATTTCTTAAACAGCTAAGTCAACTTCACTAAAGTTTACTAGCTAAAAACTGAAACACAGGATATTTTCTGGTGGGATACACTTTAAATAGTCATCAAGAATTAGCTGAGCAAACTCAAGTTCATTTATTACTCTCTCAGGAGATGAACAGAAGTGGATATTAAAACTATCTAGAATTGTCAGTGAAAACATTTTTATGTTTGTTACCCTTAATAAATTTTCACATAGATTGTTGAGAGTTGCCAGAATTTTTTATAAACCTATCATTTGCATTAATTTTTGCAAGCCTGATGGCTTTCCACTACTCTTTTCTAAGTTTGATAAAGGTACTTCTAGTTGCAGCAATGGGACCGTTTCTATTTGTTGCTATAATAAATTGAAGTCTCTCATACATTTTTCTCAAAGTGTCATTGAGCCAGTTTACTTTTTTACTTGGATTATTGTTATTCAGCAATTTTGATTTTTTCTGGAAAAGAAATATTTATGGAATTTAGTAACACATCAATTAGCATTTTAAATTTTAAATTAATATCCAAATTAACATTATAAAAATATTGAAGTTGCAATGTTAGAACACCGTCCAAGAATCAGCACCAGAAAAACAAAAGTAGTTTTCTTATATATTCGAAATTAAGTTTTTACTAACATATGACATTATTTAGCGGCGTCATCATTTTATTAAACTTTGTCAGAAAACTTTTATCTAGCAGAACAATTAAAAAAAAAATACATAATTCGTTATAACTGTTCTTTCGGTGCCATCTCTCTATCAAAGTTTCGCAATATTTATAATTATGGATATCTGCACTATAAACAAAACTACTTTAAAAAGTGAATTTGATGTAATTTCGATCCAACTTTACCGTTAAAATAAAAATGATGCCAACGTTGAAGTAGTAATCAATCACATAATTGCCTTTTTTTTATTTTAGACGATATTAAGTTACATCGCTTCAAATGGATCGATAGATTTGCTAGAACAAATTCTACATTTACCGGGATTAGATCCCAATAAACCAGACAATGAAGGAAACACCCCTTTACATTTTGCTGCTCAAGCTGGTAAGTGACAAATGTTTATTTAGTTTTATATGTAATATTTGTTTAGTATCCTTACAAATGCACGTACTATAAATGTGATAAGAAAAATCGTTATTATTCTGATCATTATTATCATGAAATCGCTTTTAATTATTTCAGACTTCTTTTATGTCTTGACCATTTCACACATTATATTAGTGGTATTAAGAATAAGCTACAAATCACCCATTATAACAGGTGTGAGGAACAAATGCTTTAAGAATATAAATACAATTTGAAATTGTTTACAGTATTTTTAAATGATATAATAGCTATAGAAGATTGATATAAACAGCTTAAAGCAACCTAACGTTAAACTAAAAGTCACAGAAAATTAAATGAGGTAATATCGGATATTACGGCAAGATCTAAACAACCGGTCAGTATAGAAGACAAATGGAATTATATTAAAAAAGCTATCGTAACCACCACCAGGTCTCTGATCGCTTCCCAAATGTACAAAAAGAAGAATTTGATGACTGACGAAATATTATCAATGATGGACGACCGCAGATTATTTAAAAACAAAGACCGAACTAAACATCGGCAGAATAACCGACAAATACGAAAAGAGTGTCGCGAAACTAAAGAACAGTGGCTGCTAGACAGGTGTGCAGAAATGGAGAAATTGAAGGAAAAACATGACCACTTTAACATACATAAACTCGTTAAAGAAGTGACAAGTCATACAAAACCTTGCAGTTTTAACAGTATTGTGAAAGACAATAAATTAATTACTAATATCAAGGATCTACTTTAACATTCGAGAAACTACACACAGTAACTATACTTAGACCACACTAGAAGAAACTCTGAAAGTGAATATAAAAGCGAACCCTCACCCAATTAAATTGAAGTCAGAAGTTGAAGGGCAATCAAACAGAGCAAATGACCAAAAGCACCAGGCCCAGACGACATATACATAGAGGTTCTAACAATGTTAAGTGAAAATAATACAGACGCCTTGGTAGATCTTTATAATGACATTAATGGATGCGGTGAAATACCACAGGATTAGCTTCAATCAACCTTTATACCAATGCCAAAAAAGAAAAACGCTAATAGTTGCGACCAACTCCGAATGATCTGCTTATTGAACCAGGGCCTTAAACCATTCTTAAAGATAATTCACATAAGAATATATAAAATATGTGAAAGAGACATTAGCCCCACAAAGTTCGGTTTCAGACAAGGATTTGGTACAAGAGAAGCACTTTATAGCTTAACTGTCCTACTTGTCTTTCTATGCTTTATATATTACCAGAAAGCGTTTAATTGTGTTAATCATTCAGAATTAGTAAGATTGCTCAAGGAATGTTCGATAGATGAGAATTACCTTAAAATCATAAAGAACCTTTATATGAATCAAGTGGCATATGTGAGAGTAGGACTGGAATCTATATCATATTTTTCAATTAAAAAAGGTGTACGACAGGATTGTGTTCCATCATCCTCCTTTTTAATCTTTACTCTGAAATTATTTTCGATAGAGCCTTAAGTGACACTGAAGATGGAATCGAAATCGACGGACAGACTATTAGTAATCTTCGCTATGCTGATGATACAGTCATAATAGCTGATAGCCAGGAAGCGCTATAACGACTAATAGATAAAATAAATACTGAAGGACAACGACTGGGCTTGAAGATTAACATAGACAAAACGAAAGTAATGGTGGTTAGTAGAACACGAAATATGCAATTAAATATAAGAGTAAACAATAAGAACATCCAAAAGGTCTCCATGTTCAGATATCTCGGTATATGGTTATCTGAAGATCTAGATCCAGACATAGGGATACGTAGCAGGATTGAGCAAGCCAGAACAGCATTTACTAATATGAAAACCTTGCTAAGCAACAGCAACTTTAACTTAACGCTTCGATATCGCTTTGTAAAATGTTACATTTACTCCATATATATACTGCTTCATGGTGTAGAAACCTGAACAATAAAGGCCAATGTGATGAACCGATTGGAGGCCTTTGAAATGTGGGTATTTAAAATGACTGCTTAAAATTTCCTGGACAGATCACACATCAAATGTCGAAGTATTAAATCGAATGGGCAGAAAACAAGAATTGCTGCCAATAATAAAAACAAGACAAACTGCTTATCTGGGTCATATATTTCGAAACTCCAAGTACCAGTTCTTAAAGCTTGTTATGGGAGGGAAGATTGAAGGAGAACGGGGCATCGGAAAAAAAGAAATATTCGTGGCTTAAAAACATAAGGGATTGGCCAAACCTCGATGCCCATGCACTCTTTGTAGCCACACAAGATCGAGAGGAGTATGCCAGAATTGTCGCAAACATCCACAAATTGGATAGGGCACCATAAACCTTAATTTTCATTCCCGTAGACACTAACCATTCGTAATATCTACGATCTTCTTTTCATTTACAAAAAACTCAAACAAATAATTAAGTTCAAATTTTAATTAATCTTTTAAATGAACAAAGGAACATTTATATGCCTAAAATATGCAAAACAAATTCAAAATTTCCTTATCCACGTCAAAAGTAACGCAACAGTTTTGGAGGGACAGAAGTAGCATATAGCACGTTTTTTAGACGGTTGATTGAGGTCAGCAACTTCCAAAGGAATTTAATTTAAATCTCTAATCAGAAGCTTTACTGAGCGTTGCAAAGTCGACATCGCAAAACGCTTTGTTAATGTAGATTTAACATAAAAGACTTTCTCGTGATTGGTTCCGGATTATTTCTTGATAGATTATGATTATATTATAATCCAAGAGTTTATACACGCTATGTTGATTGTACCATAGAATATACAAAGCGACCATCGTCGAGTTTTTGGGCAGCAACTTCGGTGGCCACACATTTGATCGAACACCACCCTTTGTTTGGTTATAGTGCAATACTAGCGGACCAACTCGACATCGAGTTTTTTAAATGAAATTTTTATTTTGCGAGAAAAATTAAGAGATTAATACAAACAATATAAGCAAGAATATACATAACATTCATCAATAATAATGCAAGTAAAAAGTGTATTAAATATCACGAAATACTTCGTCGAAAACAATATTTTTTGTTACAATGTCTCCATTTTCTGAAAACTTTTAAATAACCGGGAGTTATGTAAACTTTTACTTTTTACTTTTTAATAAAAACGAAACCGGAAGTCGACCTCAAAACCGGAATGCAATTTTTAGTTCATCAAATGTCGATATGGATATCATTTAGCAATTAATTTTGCATGCTGATCACGAATTCGGTGTCAGATTTGCTCTATCTTGACGTTTTATGCGCGTTTCGGGTCAGTTTCGTTGTCGGATCGCAACCGGAAGTACATATTTAGATTCGTCTCGACGAGACCTTTCGATCCATATATACATTGTGGGGTCTAAAACTTCCGGTCTTCTCAAAACCGGAAGTGAATTTTTGTACCAAAAGTATATCTTGACTTGAGTATATATTTTAATTATCTAATATGGTTTTTGAGTAAAGTGGTGGACAAGAAAAGGGCTTAGCGTTTTAGTATATAAGATTATTTCTGGTTTTTTAGTAGTTGGACAAACAACTAAACATTCGTGCATTGTAGAATGGTTAAAACTAGAGCGGTTTTGTTTTTTTTAGATTTATACGACACCAACTTCTTTTTTCGGTCAAAGGTTTTACTATAATAAATATTCCTTTTAGAAAGAACCAAGCTGTATAGTACATTATTAACCAAAATAAATAGGATGGTTATTTAATGGCAGTGGAAATATTATCCACATATGAAATTACGATAAAAATAGGGGATGGATACTGCATATACTACACTTACTAGACTAACAAGTTTAATCTTTCCATCATTTCAGTATTTTCTTCACTAAATTATGCAGTGTGAAAAGCACTACAAAATGCAAACAACAAATATAACGTAAGTCGTTGTTTTAAACGATTTTCTCGGTGCATTTCAGTTTAGAAAACATTTATATACGCTATGTTAAATATAAATACAATGAACTGTAGAAAATAATACGAGGAATGCTGATCATATATTTTAATCAGTTTTTCAGTTTTTTAATTAGGTTGGCAAAAACTTAAACTTAAACATTTAGCGAGAAAAATCGAAAATTTCCATTTTGACATACCTAGTAGCTTTGCAGGAGACGAAACAGCTGGGAAATGATATATAGAAATAGAAGATACAGTGTTTTTTAACAGTGGCTAGTGAATTACAGAAATAAAGGAATAAAAAACCAATACCAAGGTGCTAGAAATGAAAAAAGAAGGTTTCCTACAAAAACTCATATTCGTTAAAAACAAAGCAGAAAATAATATATAAGCGATGAAGCAGAAATGGTCAAAAGATTAAAATAGTATTTTAATGAATTACTAAATGGCAATAATAAGTCAAACCAAAGAGAATGTATGGAAGCAGAAGCAGAAATCTAACACTTAGAAGACATAGAAGATAATTCACCCAGCAATGAACAAATCGAGGAAATCATAAAAAATCTGAAAAACAATAAATGCCCTGGAAGCGATAACATTACAGCAGAAATGATGAAATATGGTAACAATCTGCTAAATGATTAAATATACAAGATCATAAAGGAGATATGGATAAAAGAACGAATACCAGAAGATTGGAAGGAAGCAATTATTTGCCCATTACACAAAAAAGGAGACAAAACAGAATGCAGTAATAACACAGGAGTAACAGGAGGATTTGCCATCAACATATTGATTTAGCGATGTCGGGATGTAAATGTTGATCTACACTTGTGCTTCGTTGACTACGAAAATGCTTCCGATAAAGTAAGACATGAAAAACTAATATAAATACTTATGAACAAGCGCATTGACAGTAAAATCATAAATATAGTGCAAATATTATATTGGAACCAAAGTGCCATAGTTCAAATTGATGGGCAACAGTCGAGGCCCTAATTATTAATAATTATTAATTATATTCTTCTTAAAGTTTGCATAAACCAGGACTACTTTGAATTTAATAATCAAATAT